TATTTTCAACAAAACGTTTTTAATGTACAACTCCAATGGCATATTTTTATTTTGTAGACATTTATCGATGAACTCTATCTCAGTTGTCGACTACCCGGCCTGGGGCGTCAAACACAGAGATAAAAAAAACTTACTTACTAGGTACAGCTGTAGACACACAAACATCAAACAGGAGATAACCCTGTTTGGCGACGAAGAAAACTCCGTCCCTCGGAGGATTGTTTATCACATTGTGGGGAATGTAACTAAATTCTTCTTCTTTTGCCCCCTCCCCCCTCCCCATACAACACGGACAAAGCTCATTCTTTTGTGTAATAAAATCGAGACGGAAAAGCAATTTCTTTAAAGAAAAATCTGAGTTGTGTGAGTATGTGTTTTTTAACGAATTCGTATGGTTTTTCTCTTTTTTTTACTTCGACAAACAGTTGTCTAACGAACAGACTTGTTTGTCTTTTGATATATACCCATCTTCGAACAGACTAGTAAAAAAGAACGGTTACGGTTTAATTAAGCCTAAGTTTTACTTTGGGGACGAGTCACTCGCTTGACGGAATTCCGAAAGGGCATTGAAAGAAAAAGTTTTTGACATTTCCGTCTTATCGTTTAATTATTTCCAATGTGCTATTGACTAAAATATATATCTAGGGAAACAAAATGGAGTATCTTATGTGAGCGAATCACTGTAACCGCTAACAAAAACATTCTCGTTTAGAAAACATCTAAGATACTTTGAAATAAAGACAGATAAAAGTGATTTTAAAAATTAAAAGTTTCAAGTTGCCTCTTACATCAAATGTCAGACTTTCAACGAAATTATTACAACACTTAATTTATCAGCTTTTTTAAGTGATAATTATTCAAATTGCGTGTACATTAAAATACACATACGTCCTACACATTTTAAACGTGATGTGCGTATTAATTTTTAACACGAAACATTTTAATGAAACACGCACTTCCGCACTGGATATATAACTAAATAAGTACTCATCATTCACCTCCCTTCACTTTCTTCGGTAGAATAATTAAGACTATCTGCTAGCATTACATATTATTATTTAAAATTTAAAAAGTTTATTATTCATCATTAAATTAAAAACTGCTCTGGAGGAGCTCGGCTTAGTATATTCTATCACAGTGTTCATAAGTTATTTTTAAAATGTTAAGTCATCTTTAATCGTGATGTCATAACTTTAAAGATAATAAATTAATAACAAATGAGATATTGTAGTTAATAAATGCGATAATAATTATTAATCTAACTCTGGATTTTCTAGTCATAGAAAACGTTCAACCTTACAATGACAAATTGAATCGAAATAATTATAAACCGATTTATTAGAGATATCTCATAGGATTTCTTGTAATTAATACATTTAAGTATTTTTACAAAAATGTTTAAAGATCCCGAGCACAATAATAAGTATTATTTACATCTAATAATTATAATTGGAAATTTAGAATTGAGAATTTACCTTTGTATAATTAAGTAAGTTTATTGCATTCGTATAATTGTTAAAAGAGAAACACGACAATGACTCGAAATGAAAATGTCATGAGCATACTTAGATTTTAATTTCCACGTTAATTATTTTCGAACCCACTAAAAATAATAAAGAATCGTATTCGTCGTATTACAGTATTACAGGTACTCTTATCATAAAATTAACAAACGAGAGAAGGAGACTCCCCGACGATTGAGACTTAGAACAGCACGTAACAATCGGGCGCTCCCTGGAACCACTATACAGAGTTGACAGCCTGCAGTTAATTCCGATTACCGATCCTTCCAACACTGGCGGAGTAGATTTCTAAGATCAAACTTAATACAGGATTGTTAAAACATGTTCTTCGGCAAAATTTCAAAAACGAACCAGACGATTACCAGACGGTTTTCATTTGTATTTCACATCATGCAGACAATGCCCTCATAGACTCATATATAGACTCATACCCCGTAAACGCAAGTAATGAACGAAGCATCGTTTTTCAGCCAATCAAAATTACCGATACGAATACGAGGACATAAATGTTTCGTTGCTGTTGATATATATAATATAATATGGGTGTGCGTGTGTGCGTGTGTGTTACATAACACCTATGTATATATATATATATATATATATGTGTGTGTATAGTATAATGCCTGTATAACGATATTACACACGGTGCGTAAACGTAAACCGAAGCGGGGAAAGTCGATAAAGAATTAAAGCCCGGGCGGCCGGCTCCGTCTGATGGAAATCAGGAAGCGATCGTTTTGGCCAGTTGCCAAGCAACCAGCCCAGCTAACGGCCAATTTGCGATTAGCGCACGCTAGTACAATCGTTTTGCACACTTTATCCCTACCACCCCGTCGACGGGGTGCATGCACGTCATCCGTCGTCGTTTAACTCCCGAACGACCAATAATTTATTGCGCGAACCAGACGGATTTCCCTGTTGCACTCGATTTGTATTATTGTCGTTATCATTATTGCATTAAACTGCACGTAATCGTTGCACTGCGCTAATCGGTCGACGACAATGTTGAACGATGACTCCGTCGTATAGTCTCGCGAAGTGATTATCGATCTCCGCGGGTACACATCATGCCGTGTGTGCATACGCGCACGATTGAAATCTGATGAGATTATCGAACGGAAATAATCGTTTGAGATTCTGCAGACAACCACACTTTTTGGTTGTACAGCTATACTCGAGAGGACGCACTTTTTAGGACGTCACCCGACTGTTTTATGTTGCAAATAAGAGCACTCCGAAGGTTTCGAGCGAGCCGCCTATGCTTTTAAAGGTTATCGCTTTATCAGTAGTCGTTGTACATTATATACGCCCTAAGAGTGAGGTAAATCCACCGACCATTGCCACGGACACGTCCACAATGCTGCAGAAATCTGCTGAATCCGATTTATTTTAACTTCTTTTGGAATCGTTTTTAGAGTATCCAGATTTATTACTATCTTTAAATTTCGTAACGATAACACGCCTGCAATGTCCTGCGCTAGGATTAACGAAATCATAAGAGATATTTCATGCTTGGGGGGGGGGGGGAATAACATATGTGTAACACTATTACATACTAGAAACTAGAAAGTTTAAATACATAAGTATTTATAATAAGGAAGAAGGCTTACTAGACATTTTATATAAATGTATAATTTTATTATAAATGTATAATCATCCGAGTACACATGTATATAATATAAAATAAAATTGATTAAATATTATATAAGACACACATAATGTTAAGTTCGTTAGTTCCGGGACTAAAACAACCGCCGAGTCAACGAACTCCGGATTACCATACTATTCGAAGGTCTTACGCTATTTTGTATTTCACAAAAACTGTATAATAATAAAACATGATAATATCAACTAGAACTTATAGAATATTTTAATCTATCTTTCCTGAACTTCCCGAGTTACGGTTAATATATAATTCATAAGGCTCTAAAAACCCTCATTGAATTACATATGTATAACAAGTTCATCAACCCCGTTACATATTCATCTTCACCTAACAATTCCGATTAATTACATTGTAACCAACTAAATAGATTACTGTTGTAGATATATAATACCGGAGGTGCTTGAATAATTATTGAGCCACACTTTTGACTTGCACTTTCCCGCGTATTTTGAGTAGATAGTAAATATTAATAAAATATCATAAATATTTTATTTTTTTTATTATGAGCACACGCGATTTTAAGTATAATGCATTTAAACTATGTTCACACGGCGTTATTAATAGGCTTTTTAGGTACACCACTGTCGAGAGATGGTTTTCTCGGTATTAAATTACGAGTAGGCGATTTTACAAAGCTTAATAATACCTATACCTACGATATAAGACTTAGGTATGTTGAGTACATTAAAATCGCTATGGAATATAATATAACGTCTGGATGCAATTTTAGGTAACCACGAGAAAAGAAAATTAAGAAGGGTAATAATTAGCTATAGATTGTATTCATCACGGAATATTCGTATTTGTAATTTAAAATTTATGAAAAAAATCATTTTTTATGGAACAGTCCTATAAAAATGTGTATGCAATGCCTCCAACTATTAGCTGTACGCAGTCAAACCTATTTTCGACAAGCTTTGGCTATCGAAAACTCGGAGAAGTATCGAGTTAGAACTTAAACGGATGATTGTTATAAAGACGACTTACAATGCGGATCCAGGTATTTTGCCTTAACATAATATGCAAAATATAATGTTCACCTGAAGTTAGGCACAATCAAACCAATTGGCACCGAAACTATATTTATAAGTAGTATAATATCAAATAGGTTCCAGGTCCGGCTAAAGCGTTGAGCACTTTTAAACAGGCTTAAGACTTGCAGCCCTTTACATGTCGTAAATACAAAGTCAAATATTTTTGAATACCGTCCTAGACGTGCGCCTTTGTCGCTTACCCCTTGAGCCGGGCCTGATAGGTAAATATTGATTAAAGAAAAAGCTAAGTATGTATTATTATCTGTATCACTCCAAACGTCTATCCGGTTTAACCTAATTATTAATAAAAGTCATAAGATTTTTTTAAAACTCACCAGGGTTAATATTATTGTTTTATTACTCTCATCACATCACAATATTATAATATTTCAGTCTACCATTGAATCGTGTTGAAATATCCTAATATATATGTTGAAAATATAAATATGCTTCCAAATAAGAATAATTAACCCATTCAATTGTTTCCATTCAATTTGAAATTCCAAAGAATAATTCATGTACCTACATAAACGGTATTTTGAATGTTATTTTCACAACTAGGTATATGAAAACATCATTTGGTAATAATTTAAAAGTAGCAATAATATTTTTACATACATTTTAACATTATTATTGAATATGACGTATATGCAAACATTATATGTTATTAAACATAATGATGGATTGTTCGTTTTTAATATTATTATATAGTTTCCAACAGATATTTTAACAATTTAACTGTTACAATTATAATTTAAATTATTTTAAATGACTTACCATAACAATGCATCACATCGCATTCAAATATGTTGGTATTAATTTTTGTTGTTCGCGTTCGTAGTTCAAACAGTATACTTGCGGAAAACTAAAAATACATTTTTAAAACGTTCAATAAATTTATTTGATTATAAAATATATTTAATTAGTTAAAAAATTAAGATTTGATTTTAGAATAGTAATAATATATAACTTGCATTTTTGTTCTAACTTATATTTTGTAGTTTATGTATATTATAGGTACCTAATTTAAATAAATATAATTCGTAAACATATTAATTGATCAATTTTCAACTATTTTATTTAACTATTTTACTATAAAATATTTTAAAACAAAATTGTTATACAAATATACTATATTTTATTTTACACTAACATTATAATAGTAAAAATGAATGTTAGTGCACACTATTTTAAATTATTAAAAATATTACAGTTAGTAATATCCACCACCTACGATCTATTACACTCGAAGTTGTATAAAAAGTCTTGGTTGTGGAACTGTGTTAAACAAGTTTAATAAAGTTAAATAAAAACCAAATTTTTTAGCGTACTAAATTATATCTACCATTGTATCTGGTCAGTACGGTACGTTAATCTATTCGTATTTCTATAGCCATTTACCATTAATAATAGATTTCGTAGCTTGCCCATATTACAATATGGTTGACTTCTTATATGGGTCATATCGGTGTGTTATGCGTGCAATGGGCTAACATGCTTGAATTATAATTAAGACAAATTGCCTATGCTAGCCATAAATTAATTTATGTTCATTTGCATTTCATAATCAAACTTAAAAAATGTAATGGTATACAAAACCGAAACGAATATACATTTTAAAACTAATAATTTAAATCAAACTTGCGAGCAATTTTAATACATATATCTTAATATAGTTTTATACAAATTCACAAAGAAAATCAAATCACTCGTTCACGTTCAAATATTTTCGATCACATAATTTTAGCACGTGTGCACATTGTAATAATGTTTTATCACCGCTCGTAAAAAATTATACGATTAAAATTCTTTAGATACACACATTTTTTGTTGTAACTTCCAATAATAATGTTATAACTCATAATAATCGGTTATACATTACAATATTAGCCTTTCGACTCAATAAAATATAATACATATGACATATACAACAGAATAATGTCCCATGATATTTCCCGATTATTATTATTTCTATTACTATCCGCCGCATTAGTGATGCATGGTTGAAAAATCTTTGCGAATTTGTTTCCCTACCATAAAGCATCGGTCGGTTGATGGGTAGGACGGTGGAAGGGGTGGGGGGCACATTATAGTATATGGCCCATTTATCATCACAGCAGGTGTATATTGCTGCGTGTTCGTGCTCTCATTTAAGATTCCGCTCATAACTTTTATTATTATACTTTTTCGGAATTAATACGATTTTTCATCTTATATTACTTCATTGTAACTAGAACCGTACATCTTTCCATCTCTGTTTCCGGGACCGCTGCCTCGGCTTTTCATCCATCCCATACATATACACGTACATACATACATACATATATATATATTAAAAGCCCGTAGAGCTTTGGACGTTAATAAAAGCTTCGGCTCGCTGTACAATGCTGGAATTAAAACCGTCTTCATTGTTATTCTCGAAATGATTCCGGGCGGGAGACCTGTGAACCAAACAAAAAAGAAAAAGAGAATAAATAAATACGAGAGAAGAAAAACCGAGGAAAGACGTATGTTATTAAAGGCGATGGCGGTGGAGTTTGATAAAAAGAAAAAAAGGTCGGGACGTATGAGAAATGAGCTCGGACTACCCACCATTTATTTTTATTTTTTTCAGTCGTATATACGTAATATGAAATACGAGGGAAATGTTCTTGCCTAGATTAATTAAACTCTCGGGAAAACCACAATATGTCACGTGCATCTTTCATGCCCGTACGCCACTGTACTAAATTCTACATATAAAATTTTAAAAAACGATATTTATTTTATTTTACTCTTTTCTTTTTGAAGTCATATTTACAAAGAATTTTAAAACTTGGATTGAACTTTTAACGTTTAATAAAATGTGTGCTAAACAGTAGGTATTGTAATTAATTACATAGTTGCAATATGATCAAATCCTACAATGTGAGTTGCATTAATTTAAATAATTTGCAAGTCAGTACCTATCTATAATTATCGGTATTATGCGGATGACTAGAGAAAATGATTAAATACGGCTATTTGATTCTTATGTAAAACAATTAAAAATGAAATGGTACATCTCTAAAAAAGTATACATAAATAGTAAAAACCTAAGATTAAGTTTAAAACTATATTAAAATATGTAAAATGAATATAATATAATAGTACATGTTACATTGCAAAATTAAAAGTATATGACTGGTATTTTCAAACAGTTTTATATATTCGTTATTTCGTTTAGTAACTAAACTTCAGTTAATTTATCAAAGTATACAAAATAAAGACATATAAAGTTTTTCTTAAAATAGTTATGGTAAATATTATTCAATATAAATAAACAAACAATTTTAGAACGATTGTTTCAAAACGTTTTTATTGAGTTTGTGAAGATTAAAATATTTCATGAAGAGGACACATCGTATGGCTTAAAAGTGGTAGGTAACACAGACACTAATTTTGGTCGGCATTTACAATTTTGACTCATGTTAAAAACAAAAATTAAAAGTTTTGAGGGTGATCGTGATTTAGTCATAAAAATGTACAAAGCTTGATCAAATTGCAATTTACTCAGATCAGAACGTGAAAACAATTATTTGTTTTGTAGTCTTTAATAGATAATATATTTTTTTGAATTGATTCAAAATATGTTCCTAGTAAAAATGTTTACCTCAGTCGTCATCGTAACTCAATTTCATTGCAAAAAAAGAACTTGGTCCACACGCCAATGCTTATTGCTCATGTACTTGATAACTTTCACTGAAAAGTACACTCAAAACCCTTGTCTACTTATCCTAATCATGTTTAGAAAACACGCACGTACCTAATATTTTCAAAACTTTGTTATATAAAAAGTTGTATTTTTTCTTTTAAATTTATTCAACACAAAAATTCACTTCAAAAGAATTATTTTAAATTGGCCCACATACAATTATTACATATTGCTGATATTAGGAATTACTGTTGAACCTACCTATTATATTGTATGGACTATAAGATACATAAACGTAGGTATGCCTATCATATTTATAGAAAAATCTATTGTGATGGGCTTTACTCTGTCTAATGTTCTTAATCTAAGAGACGACTTTCCTTGGTTTACTTTTCAGGTAGATATCCACGGGGGAGCGTTATTGGTGACCGCCATCTCACTGTGGTGTTTTTAAAAATAATTCCAAAATACCACATTATTTGTGTGTGTACATATATTGATCTATTAAACATCTTCTTCAGTTAAACTCGACCTTCGTTCCAGCTGTGTGTGCAACGTCTCTAGTATTTAAAGTTCTTCTACTATCCATCAGCTAAAACTTGATGAAATTCGTTATATAATATGAGGAATGGTTGTAACAACAAGGCATTTAGTAGACAATTTTAACTTAAATTCCCCATCGCACATCGTCTATGATTTATATTTTTAATAATGTAATTAAATGTAAATTATAGTAATTATGAAAATTATGATTTCTATTTGACGAATTTCATACCTATGAGAACAATTAGTAATATTTGAGTATAAAAAGTTGGGTTCAAAAGTATACATGAAGTTCCTAATTAGGTACTAATTAGATAGTTGTTTCAACCTAATAAATATTTTTTTAAAAATGATTTATTATACTGCTGTATTTACACATATATTTATCATATGTGTGTTATATATTATGTAAGGCCCAATGAGTACTGACAATATTATAATAAAACAATCATCAACCATAATATAATATTGATTTTCGTTATAAACTGTTAGGTTTTATTTAGAAACTTGTACACAATATTACAATAAACTGTATTAAGATTTCACTTAAATTAAACGTTTATTTTGGTTAGTATTTTCTATCTTATAGCAATTTTCTATCAAAGTATTAGAGACTGTTAGAATTACTGTGGTTAGGTCCGCCCTTTCACACACCCTTTATTTTCAGCAATAAAAAGAATAGGTGTTTTTCTTATTGTTCACGTTTGAAAACAAGATCATCATCAGGTGGTTTAACAAAAACATAAAATGAAGTATCTATCTTTAAAATACTAAAATATCGATGAAAAAATCTAACAAATAACAGATTACTTCATATTAAAATGGAACAATCGATTTCTAAAGACGAAAAAATACATTCAAGTAATAAATTGACCTCATCATTGTTTTTTAAATGTATTCGTTGATTATCCTACAAAAAAGAATTCACACTGAAAACCAAAACAAAGTATACTTTTGAATATTCAAGTATTTATACTATCCGATTGAAAATATATAAAATATTTTGTCACAAAGATGGAAAACTGAATTTTTAGAGATCAAATTTAGTTTTTATGTTATTTGTTTTGGTTTTTAACACTGCACTATCACAAAATGTGCGGAAATAGATTAAAATTAAAATAGTTCAAAATAAAAATTAAAGATTCAAGTAGGTGTAAGTTATAATTAATAATACTATAATTAATTAATTAATTAATCTCATGTCGTTTTAGTATAGCGTCGTTGTAACATAAAACCGCACATGGCAGATAACTACTATTAAAAATTAAAATATGACAATGTATCAATTTAGAAATTTGCACTTTTGAAAAATCAATAACTACATATAAAAGAGACAAATAATTATTGTCTATTGGTCATACGGAAAATCGGAAAAACGAATTTCAGACTGTTTTCCGATTAATAATTATTACAACTCAACGACTTAATTTCTACGATTTGTCGATATTTCTAACCGGTGCGTTTCGATTACATCCTGTGCGCATGCGTCTTGAACACCGTGAAACCGCTATGTATTATTGAAAACTGCGTTTCAAGCACCGTTCTAGCAGCATAAAAATTAGCATAATGTACATACATACATTGTACATCAACGAGTTTGTTAGTGTGTACATTTGACTAGAATAACCCACGAAAAAATATTGATCGTTCCACACTACCTATACGGCTATACGTATTATGTATTATCATAAATATATTATATTATCACATAATTTTATGAGAAAATATCATATCATACCACAATAATATAATATACCGCACGGAAGTGCCAAATGTAAAATATGTGGGCAGGTATAGAATATTATTTGAAGAAAAAAAACCATAACATACAACAATAACGATAATAATAATAATAACAGTGAAATCACTGGACGAGGGCGAAAGCGTTTTTCGGCGAGTGCAGTAGTTGTTGTACCTATACGTATAATAGTGGTCAGCAGCAACGGTACTTAGTATTGATCCCCGGTCCGAGCGCGCGTGGGACATCGTGCGGGGCGCGAACGATAGGACGTGATCGGCGTGGAGGGACGCTAGCGAGTGACTGAGGGTGTGAGAGAGCGCCGACCGGTGCGGGGGGGTGCTAGGGATGGCAGCAGAGTGGTGCGGGGGGAGAGGGGTTCGAGGATCGGCAGTGGCGGCGGTCGGTGATGATGCTGCGCTCTCGGTATTTACGCAATTAGCCGGCTACGGGGCGACGGCGGCGCGGCCCTGTCGCGCGGAGGAGGGCTGTGTGGCGCACGCGCGTTGCGGATCACCTGAAACTCGGCGGCACAGTAATATAAATAATATTATATTATCATTATTACAAAAACACGTCCGGGTAAGGGAGGAGGGACAAAAATAGAAAACCGAAGGCCCATAGTAGATCTCGATCGACATCACACAGTCTCTGGCTGACCTGTCCGCACGGCTGCTGCTGCTGCTGCTGAGGTCGGTGCCGTCGTTTATCATTTTCGGTTATACGCGGGACTTAACGCGCATATAATATATAATAATATTAATATATATATATTTATAAAGACCTCCGGGCCGGAAAAACATATACATTAACGATATTAAAACCATCACGGATGCGTGCGCGCATTATATATTATGTGGTTCGCGGACGGGCGCGCAACTTGTGTGTGTGCGAGAAAAAAAAAATACATATACACTCCGAGAGAAAATATAGGAGAACGAAAATTAATCAAATTACGGCCTGGCGGGGCGTGTGTGTGTGTGTGGTTTTTGACGAAATGGAGCGGAAATATTGGCCGGCCGTACGCGGGTTGACGATGTCATTAATTCTTGTCCGGTTTTGTTTCTATACCGCTGCAGCGGCGCACTTCCGCGGACCCGATGGCCCATGTGGTGAGGGGGGGGCGGTGCGCGGTTCACGTGTCAGAAATTAATAAATCCGCCGCCACTGCGACCAGGAGCGCTTTTTCATTTTGATAATGGATTTGCTCCGAGCCACGAATATATATATACATGTTTAAGTGTGTGTGTGTGGGCCCTGCAGTGTTATGTATTATGGTGGTGTATACCTACCCTTATTTCGTCGTGACACACACACACACACACACACACACACACACACAAAATATAACGCTAAACGGGGTGATGGTAGTCCACGTGTTTTTCCGTTTGAAAATGACGCGGGAAAGCGTGCGGGTGATGGGCCTAGGTACACGCGGACACCGGCCAAACGCGCGTGCTGTACCACTCGTGGCCGCGGAGGGTACG